TGGGAGAACAATGTTGAACAAAAAGGAATTGTCCCCTGCCCTCGTGAAGCTTACTGTCTCATAGGAGAGATGAGTGATGAATGAGCAAACACACTAATAAATATTTAATTACAAATGGTAATGAGTGTTTTGAGCAGGACAAAAGAGTAGTTTCTTTCCGTGGAAGAGAAAATACAGGTGGGGCCTGGGCTGAGGGGTTGGAATGGCCTCACCAAGGCAGCCTGGCACTTAGAGTGAAATGAAGAGAGGGGGCAAGTCACTTAAAGAGCCAGGAGCAGTGCCGTGAACGCTGAGGGAACGTGTGTGTGAAAGCACTTTTGGGATTCAAGCTTTTGAAGTTCCTGGTCAGGCAGGAGGCTCCCTGAGAGTTGCTCCACCTTTTGCTCTTTTATTAGTCTACTGTCGCTTATAGCAGAATACCTGAAACTAGGTAATTTATAAAGAAAACAAAATTTGTTTCTTACAGGTTTGGAGGCTGGGAAGTCCAAAATCCAGGGAGGGAACACATCTGGGGAGGGCCTTCCTCAACAGTGATGCAGAGTGTCACGTGGCAAGAATGAGCTGAACAAGAGAGAGCTAACCTTCTCACTTACTCTCCTTATAAAGCCATCAGGGTCATGCCTGTCACTCCATGAAAGGATTGATTCATTCACAAGGGTGCAGTCCTCACGATCTAATCATCTATGAAAGGCTCTATCTTTCGAATACCATAACTGGGTTGCCCATCCTCTTAGCACACTTACAATGGAGGGTCAAACTTCCAATACATGAACTTTTGGGGAACACATTTAACCCATAGCAGCCCCCCACTGGACACACCGAAGTGCTCTAGGCTTTGTGGTGGCTCAGGGCCCAGAGATCCAAGTGGGTTCCAGAGACCAACTTGGAAGTTGTCCAATGAAGATCAGTGGTGACAGCCTGCTCGTAGCTTCAGCCAGTTGAATAAGGTGAGCACCCGAAGTATTCCTAACCCCTCCAGCCTCAGAGACTCATTTCCTAGTGCTTTCCATTTCTGCTCATTGCTTTTATCTGTGAGGGATGCTGGCTTGCCGAGGAGCTGCGCCTCGCCTTGGTGAGGGTTAATGACTGAGGCCGCGCTGGCCTTCCGGAAAAGCGCAAGCAGCAACAGAGAGTGAGAGCAAGAACTGGAGCCAAGGAAGCAGCCCCTGCCAACAACTTCCGTTCTTTCCCTTTCCTTCGGCATGGCTGCCCAAGGAGCCCCCAGTGACTGTTTATGGTGATCCGTTGGTTTCGCAATTGACAAAGAAGGAGGGAGCCCTTTCTGACATTTTTGCCCAGAGGCCCCAGATTTCTCAGTAGGAAACTGCCAAATACACAACTTTGGGTGGATATTTGGCTGAATCACTTTGAAGGGCTTGTCAGTGCCTAAAATGGAAATTGTTAGAAAGCAGAGGAGGGTGGTTGCCAGCAACCATGAAATGGTAATGACCAAATCATTTATTTTTGCAATGAAATGTCATCCCCAACACTACAAAGGCAGGTTTTTTCCCCTAGCTTAAAAGTACTGACTACCTATGAAAATCTTCAAAAGTGATTCTGTGTGTTATGCATATGTACACACATATCCCTATCTTTCTCCCACCCTCTGTCTGCCCTCCTAAACCCAGCTTCCTCCACGTTCCTGGAGCCCAGCTGCAACCTGGGATGAATTAAGGGGTTGGCCCATTGTAAAAGGTAATCAGGCCTCAGCCATCCTATAAAATAAAAGGGAGTTCATTTGGTTATTTATAAGATGGTGTGTGGCCACGTGGGAAAGTCAGTAGGCGGTAGTGTAATAGGTTATACCCCAAAACTCAGTGTTGGTCTTTTAACCATCTATTTGAGTCTAGCTACAGTTGCGCCTAGGAAACGTGACACTTAATAAGATTTTACTATATCTATCTGCTCAGTTAGCAGGCAAATCAGGCGAGATCTCCCATTCTGTACCTTTTATTTTTAAACTCTGGAACATTTTTTTTCTGCGTTTAGGAGGAAGCGACTGGAAAATACATTATGGGTTGATACTGGGGAATGCAAGAGGATCTACTATTTCTTTGAAAACAGCCATTAAGATACTGTTCCCTCTGGCCAATTCCTGGGCAGCATTAACCACATACAAAGCCCAAGGTCCTTCTTTTGGTTTTTCCATATTGACTCCTGTGTTAGGATCAGTGAAAATTTATACTACCATAAAATTTGTTTTAAAGCAGTACTTTACAAGCCTTTGGTTTGAAAGTATTTCAATAGCATCTGCACATTCAATACTGAAAAGTAAGATGGCTCCGCTTTTGTTATAGTAGGCTTTGAGAGGTGTCTTTGGATTACAGTCATTATTCCAGTTTTTATCAGCTTCTTTTTCAAGAGAAGTGGTTTTCCCCAAAATTGTTTGTGATTGTTAGTGTGGGATCCATTTCGTAAGCAGGTCTGATGTTAAGAAAGGAACATTACCATTTAGCCATGGACCTTGGCCATCCGAATGCAGCAATTGCTTTGTATCTCACTGCTTGGGAAACCCAAGCTAATGGAGTCCCTGTTATGCAAAGGGTTGGGGCAGCCCACTGGGAAAAGAGACATTTGACAAATCTAGTGGATTTACCAGCAGAGAGACATATGGCCATTTTCCGACACTTTCTTTAGTTTGGGCTAACTCATTTTATATAATGTTCTTTTCCTACGTGTGTCTTTTAAGAGGAAAATGTGACCCATTTCCAGTGTCATAAAGTCAACACTTTGTAGCTCTTCATGAGGAAGCTTTTTCTCTGGTTTCCTACAGCTGACAAGAGATGCAGGCACGTGGGGGGGGTGGGGGTCGGCGGGGGCAGGGAGTCCTCACAGGAGCCATAATCATCAGTACCATCTCAGTCCTCCCATGAAGCTGGCCCCACTCAGAAACACGATGGTGCAGAGCAGAGATCCCTGAGCCAGCAGACCTGGGTTAGAATACCAGCTCCCCTGCTTGCTGGCTATTTAACCTTAAGCAAGTTCATTAACCTCTATGTGCCTCAGTTACCTAATCTGCAAAATATGAATAATAATTATACCCCTGCAAGGTATAGTTGTGAGGATTAGATGAGATCAAATGAGCTTGTAAAGTGCTTGGGACAATGTCTACCACATACATATAGTGTTCAGCAAACGTTAACCATTTTCATTGTTGGGCTCACATGTCCAGGTATGGACCCAGGAGTTGAGAGGACCACATTACACAGGGCCATCCTTTCTCTTGGGCCCAAGACTCTCTGTGGTCTAGAACAACTTTTGTCTGCTCTAAAATAAGTGACTTTCTCCTTTCTACAGGGCTAACTGTCTAATGGAGGGCTTAGCCCAGCCTTAGTCTCCCTAGCTTCACGAATCAGTGATAACGACCAAAAGGATGGAGAACTATCTGATGAGAGGGAAAGTGGGGTCTTTTAAACCTCAGCAATAAGCAACTGTCTCCCATGTTTGCAGAGGATTTAACAGAACTCAGACTGGAAGGCTCTTAGAGTTGACAAAGGATCTTTAGAAAAGAATGTTCCCTGGAGGGTTCTCCATGTCTACAGAGGCCCAAACAAGAGAAAACAGATTGTGGTTAGATCCAGGGAAGAAATTTTTACCACAGATGGAAAAAATGCTGGGCCAGATTCCCAAAACAGGTTATGTAGTGTCTTTTGCTGGTAAATTGGGCAAAGAGTGGCTGGCCATCTGTCCTAGATTGTTTCATCGATGATCAGAGCAGGAAGAGCCCTTAGAGGTTGTCTTACCCAAGTCTCTGTTTTAAGTATGCAAATGCTGCAACCCAGAGAAAGGGGACAATTGCCCTACAGTCATATAGCAAATTACTGGCTGAACCAGGATTTAAATCCTAGGCCAACAGATCATGCTACACCATAGTGGTCTCTCAAGCTGCTATCCCTTCTAGTTCTAGAATGCTCCATAGTACCAACATACTAAAAAGTAATTGAGGCCCACCCAGAAGGACTCGAAGGTACTGAGCAGTGCCCAAATTGCAATTGCTCTAGTTTATCCGTCTGATTTTGCAGCTTCGGCTGTCAACGTGTTTCAGCCAAGCCTCCTTACTCAACTAACTGATCTTCTTAACTTACCATTTGAAAGCAGCTGTGGTTAAAGCAGAGCTTGCTGACTCAGCCCATGTAGTAAGGATGACTAAACACAAGAATTTCCTGTGGGGGGATGGAAAATATATTTCAAGCGCATTTGTTTCAGGGAACCATTCTGATCAGTCAGGAGCTAGGCCACCATGGCCCGTGAGGAAAAGCAGCAGGCTGTCCCTGCTCAGCACCAAGGCAGGATTTGCAGATGTTTCCTCTCTTTTTTCTAAACAACGTTGTGGCCGTCTCGGCACCATTTTGGTCTGGCCAGCATTTGCACAGAGCTTCATCTGCCAACGGGTACAGTCCAAAGCCAAGGGGAGCAGATGTCTCCCCTGAGTGGAGAGGCCTTTCACATTCCCTTGCTCAGAGTCCTTCCCCCAGGGGTGAATGGGAGCTGATCTGCTTTATCTCAAGACAGTTTCAATTCTGAGCCCACCTTGAACTCGAAAGAGAGGATCATTTATGCTGACCGACCAGAAAGCAATGTAGGCTGGTTTCCATCTCCAGGGCGCACTCTGGGGAGTTTGCAATCTGGAGAAAAGTTATCATTTTCAGGTCTGAATACCACACAGACATTGGACAACTTTAGGAAACGAACATTGACCTTCAGTTGGATTGCTCACCAGGTTGAGGCAGTAATCCAGCAAAACCAAAATTTGGATAAATATTTCAAGACTCTTGGCTGGGAAGGAGTCTGCCTTGCTCAATTAGAAAGTTGGAGACACCTGGTGTATTTGGGGGTGACACATTTTCTTTACAACTTGCAAATTAGAAAAGGAGGGTGGGGAAAGGGAGAGAGTGAACATATCCAGCCATCTTCTGAGAGGCATATACAGTGTGAGCAGTTCAGACACAGGATTCAAGTCAAAGAGGCCTGCTTCATCCTCTTCGAAGCCCTTCCCCATTCCCACCCTCGCCTTCACAAGGAGAAAACAGGACTTACTGCCTCAGAGGTCTTAAAGAGGGTCAAGGATTTATTTTTCATAAGTGAGTAACAATTTCTTATTCTAATGGGGGCAACGTAGAGTAATAGAGAATGAACTGGTCTAGGGGACGAGGGTGAGAGAGGAATGTCCCGGTTCCTTGACACTTAACAGTTTGAGCTTGGAAAGATATTGAACTTTTCTAAACCTGTTTCAGATTCTGTAAACACTGAAGCTGCATACAGAGCCTAGTAATAATACAGCCTCGAAAAATGTTTTCTGAATAAGTGAGAGCGAGAGAGAGCAAGGGAGGGAGAGTGTGAATAAAATACACGACAGAAGAAGGATTTGTGTGGTTCACAGAGTTTGTCTGAAGCTTAAATGAAATAATGGTTATGAGTTGTCGTGTTTTCTAACACTTTACAGCTAATAAAGTATCTGTGTACTCACTGTCTTAGTTGAATCTTACAAGGTGCCTCTGAGATAAGCAGGGTAAGGGCTGTCATCTGTCTGACAGAGCGAGCTGAGGCTCAGAGAGGTGGGGAGGCATTAGATTAAGGACCTGGGGCTCCAGATCCAGTTCTCCTTTGAACATACCATGCAAGCTCTCACTTTCAAATGAAATTGCTTTTAAAGGAGAAAGTGCAATGGGACCATTGCTTCAGATCTATGCCTTGCAACTAAGCACCTTTCATATAAAGGCTTAAGCAGCGCAGGTGGGTTCGGAAGAAGAGATATCATCAGGCTAGGACTAACGATGCTACTAGAGATTACAGTAAGACCTGTCTACCCAAAACACAATAGGCCAAGGGGAAATGGCCTTGGAATGACTTGTGTTGGGATTATCTAATATTTTTTGCAAAAGAACAATAGGGCCTCTAGTTGGCAGGGAACTAACTGTTGCTGTTTGGAACAACATGGGCCAGTGTAAGAAGGTTGACTGTGGACTCAGGTGAGCAAGCCAATATGTAATTAGTCTGCTCCCATCAGGTGCCTGGCCTCTCATGAAGACATCAGCTGTGCAGCAGGAGCAGACTTGTGGTCTGAATCTTCTCCAGGTTTCCATAGGTCTTAGAACCCTTGACTCATGGTGCTGAATGGGGTTGTTTAGGTCATAAAGTCCTGTCTCCATTCGATGAAGCCACTCCTGTCTGCTGAGTGGCTGCCCACCCTCCAGTGACAAAAAAATTTACTACCTCTACGTGTGTCGTTTCTAGTTTTGTGGTCTGGACAGTTTTGATGATGGTCATCTGTGTCATTGCCATTTCTGAGTGCATGGAGCAATAGGGGAATACGCTGTAAATGTATTCATTGTAAATGCACCTCATACAGGCAATTAGGCATTGAAAACAAAATTTTCATAAAGTAAATCCTGGTTTTTGTGCCCCAGGTTGGCTTGTTAAGAGGATACCTCAAAAAGTTTGTGAAAGGGTTTATATTATCTCTAAATTTTATTTTTCCATGAACTTTTTGAAGCACCCTGTATTTAAAGGAATCATTGTTCCCTAATTTATAACTTTTAAAAACATAGAATTAGATTTGTTTAAAGCAAGAGTTTTTAACCTGGGGTCTATTGCTCTTGGATTAGATACAGGAAGCTCGGTGAATTTTTCTGAAACAATGTGCAAAATTGTGTTTGCGTTTATACATTTTTCTGAGAAGAGAGTCTATAGCTTTCCTCAAATTCTCAAAGGAGTCCACACCCAAAGAGGTTAAGAACAATTGGCTTTAAAAAAAAAAAAAGGCAAAACTGTAATTGTGTTTGTGGATATTACAATAAGCAATTTCAAATGCAATTTATTAAGAAGGTGGCTTTGTCTCTGTCGGTTGCCATGGTCTGGTTCTCTTTCCCCTGCTGCCTCTGAAGGATGGGCACCCATGGGACATGCTGCCAGCTTTGACCTTCTGTCTGTCCTATTTGCAGGGTAATAGCTGTGCTAATAGGAGCTGAGTGGCAGTTGCTGTCGACTGGACTAAGGTATTATTTGATAAAATTTCCAAGTCCCTGTCCTCAATTCTCAACCCTAGAGTGCAGCCTATAAGGCAGACGTCTTTGTCACGTGGTTCCAGCTTTGGAATCCGATTGCTCTGTGATCTTGGACAAGTCCCTTAATCTCTCTGAGCCTCAGTTTCCTCATCTGATGGGGATAATAACAAGGTGGTTGTGAACAGAGGGGCTGACACAATGGTCAACCAGGGGGATTGCTTTGGGAAGTAATGGGAATTTTGGTTAAAGAGGTTACAAAAGGCCTCAGTTGCCCAGATAAGGGAAAGGGTCTGGGCTTGCTGTGGCAGGCAGTGAGGAGCAGCGAGGTGTGGCAACGAAAAGGGAACCGAGTCAGAGAGCCCAGCTGGGAGCCGGGAAGAAGAATCCAGAAATCAATGGTCAGCACCTGGGCTAGAATGAGGCCATGGAAACAAAGACAGGGGAAGGACGAAAGAGCTCACTGGTCTCTGGAGCCTTAGCCTGGAGTAGTGCAAAGATTTTTCTCTCTGTAAAGAGCAAATCCATTTTTGGTCTCTATATTTCTCTAGCATGAGAGATGCCTCTTTCATACAGGAACACGTGCCCAGCTTTAAGAAGACCAGGCAAAATAACTTGCAAAGGAGAGAAACCGAGAGTTGACTCTTCATGTAGCAAAATCGTTCTTCACCAAGGGATGCACACAGGGTCCTTTGACATAGGAACTGCCCTAACTTATGTGCGAGTTAGTGCCCTGCGTCCTGGGGATGTTTTGGGGTGTGGGGTGATGAAACATGTCCACAGTCCTCCTTCTCAGTCTCCGCCCAGGGTTCTACTTGATGTAACAGGTCTTGAGAGGCTTCTCAAGTGCAAAAGTACCTCTCAGCCTGCACAGGTTGGCCGTGGACCTGGTCCCATGGTGAACTGATTCTATTGACATTTCAGCGTGAAAAGTACAGAAGAGAGGTCTGCAAAGGGGACTGAGGATTCAGTTCCCTGGGGTGTCCCAAGGAAGCATTTCCTTCTCAGATTTGAGCAGTTCTCTTGGAAATATGAGCAAGGTGGTTTTGTGTGGATACCCCTCTGAGGCCTGGAAGCAGCACGTCTACCTATTAAGTGTGCCTGAGAAGCCCACGCCTGGCCCAATTTCTGTACATCCCGGGACGGCAGGACCCCTGGGGGCCATGCACTTGACTGAGGTTGCCCACAGAGGCTGGATTCAGCAGGGTTCAGCTCCTCCAGCTCAGGGGCAGGGCATAGCAAAGGTACCATATATTCACGATGGCTAGAAGAAGAGGATTTTGTATATGAGCTTGGAGAAAATTATAAGTGAAATAAGCCAGACACAGAAAGAGAAATATCCACACGCTCTCACTCATATGTGGGAGCTAAAATAATAATAATAATAATAATAATAATAATAATAATAATAATAATAATAATAATAATAATAATAATAATAATAATAATAATAATAATAATAATAATAATAATAATAATAATAATAATAATAATAATAATAATAATAATAATAATAATAATAATAATAATAATAATAATAATAATAATAATAATAATAATAATAATAATAATAATAATAATAATAATAATAATAATAATAATAATAATAATAATAATAATAATAATAATAATAATAATAATAATAATAATAATAATAATAATAATAATAATAATAATAATAATAATAATAATAATAATAATAATAATAATAATAATAATAATAATAATAATAATAATAATAATAAAAGTTGGACTTTTAGAAGTAGAGAGTAGAACTGTGGTTACTACGGGCAGGAAAGGGGAGGGGTAAAGGGGGATAGTGAGCGGTTGGTTAATGTGGACACAAAATTGCAGCTAGATGGGAAAAATAAGGCCTATTTGTGTACAGTAGTGACAGGCATCTATAATTAATAAAATTTATTGTATGTTGTTAAATGGCTAAAAAGAGGAGCTTAAATATTCTCACAAAGGAACGATAAATTTTTGCGATGATGAATTTGCTAACTATTCTGATTTGATCACTACACATTGTATTCATGTACTGATACATAACTCTGTACCCCATAAATATGTACACGCAATACGTTTCAATTAAATTTTAAAAGGATTTTTTTTTTATAAACGTTAAAGAAATATAAAAGTGACTTTGTTGCATTTGAATTGCCTTTGCTGAATGAATAGAGCCCTGTGGCTCCAGGGCTTAGAGAAGATTGTGTGGTGATCACGTAATTCTTTTTGTAAGTTTCTATAGAGATATATTTCCTCATATACAAACATCTGTGCAATTGTGTTTGGGAGCCCCAGGCTAAAACTAAGACCCTGACATCGTTGAAACTTTGTCGGATAGAAGCTAGGGATGGGGAAACCCGTTTAATTGCTGCAAGTAGTTTTTAGCTTATAAGTGATGAAACCTTTGACATTCACTTAGGACCAACTCCTTGTTTTAGTGATGACAGCAGCTCTTATATATTGAGAGCTTCCTATGTGCCTGGCACTGTGCTAAACCCTTTAATACATAAATCTCACTTAATCTTCACAATATCCTTAAACTGAGGTACCAGCATTGTCCCCCATTTTACAGATGAGGAAAGTGGTGGAAAGAGAGGTCTAGGAACTTGACTTAAGCTAAGGCAGCCAGGAAGTGGAGAGCTGGGATTTGAACCCATAATCTTAATGACCCTGCAAATCTTCCCCGGGAGAACTACTCAAGAGTTTTCTCCCTGCAAATTTAAAGCAAATACTCTCTAGTGAAATTAAAATGTGGTTCAAGAAGCAAAAATTATTTTGAGAGGAGGAATATATACAAAGTTGTCTACAGGGGAGGCAGGGTAGCACTTCTGCAGACTGGTTTGTTATTGGAGCTATTGTTATTGGACAACGAGGCGATGGCAGGGAGTCTGACAGCCAGTGCCTTGAACTGGGCTTGAACCCCGAGAGGGAGAGGCCCAAGGGTCAGAGGCTAATAGGCCTGGGAAGGTGGCACCAGGGGAGCTGCTTCCAAACCCGGAGTCTGAGTATGATCTAGAGTTGGGCAGAGGGAACGTCCAGCTCTTTGCACTAAGCCTACACCTGTCTTGTGGCTGCTGTCTTTTTTAATAATATTTTTTGACTGGTTATTGCTGGCATATAGGAAAGTTTTGATTTCCGTGTGTTCACTGTGCATCTAGCTACTGTACTGAACTCCTGTTAATTCTGATGTAAAATTACAGTTCACTCGCATCTCTTAGGTTTTCCAATGCAAACATATCATTGCAAATATATATATATATATATATATATATATATGAGGGTACTTCAAAAGGTTTATGTGAAAATAGAATTGAAAGATGATACAAATCTTTCCATGAACTGTTTGAAGTACCCTCATATATATAGTCTCCATTTTACAGATAAGGAAACTGAGGTTCAGAGATGCTTAGTAACTTCCTCTAGGTCACACAGCTAATAAGTGACAGTGCACAGATTAAAAAATAGGCCTAACTTCAGATCCTGAGCTCTAATTACTATACAATATCTCTCTTATATGTATATCACATTTTTTTGTAAAAATGGCATGATACTGTACACATTCTTTGTAATCTCCTTCTTTCACTTAGCAATAACTTTCCTACATGCCTAAATATTATTTAAAAACATGATTTTAATAGATGCATAAAATACCTTCATTATAAAAGTATAATAATTAACATTTATTGAGTGCTTAAAATGTATTAGGCATCTTAACATGGATTATTTTATATAAATTGTGTTTACATGAGGCCACGATTACCAGCTGTTATGGTCACATCAGTTCCAAGACTCCAGCCTGCCACTCTCCTACCTGCTGTCACCCCAGCCTGTCTCCCCAACCAACTTTGAGCTGTGGGATCCACGTGGATGGCTGTGTCATCCAATGCAAAGTGCCCTTGTCTGATACACATGGGTAAGAAGCAAGCAGCAGGTGTCTGGACTGAGCAGAAGGCATGGCAAGGGTGACACCAGTGAACCTTGATGTTGGTAGGGGTTCCTAGGGGGACTTATGTTACTAGTTGTATTAGTCCATTTCTGTTGCTTATAACAGAGTACCTGAAACTGGGTGATTTACAAAGAAATGAAATTTATTTCTTACAGTTTAGAGGCTGAGAAGTTGAAGGTCCAGGGAACACATCTGGTGGGGGCTTTCTTCTTGATGGTGACTCTCTACAGTGGTGCAGGGTATCACATGACAGATGGCTGAGCAAGAGAGAGCTAAGGTTCTTACTTGCTCTCTTTATAAAGCCGTCAGAACCATGTCCAGTACTCCATGAACAGATCAATCCATTCACAAAGGCACAGTCCTCACAATCTAATCACCACTTCAAGGCCCCATCTTTCAATTACCATAATCTGATTTCCTACCTTCTTAGCACTGTTACAATGGGGGTCAAGCTTAAATGAGTTTTGGGGGAACATTCAATCCACAGCACTAGTCTAAATATGGGACCAAGCAAAACTGTTCTCCTCTAGTTTCCTAGAAGCTTTGAGATGATACTGGAACCCAAGGAAAACCATGACAGAAAAGAGATTTTAGGAGGTGCAGGAGCCAAAAGTGAATAGACACCATTGGTGGGTTGAGGGGGTGAGGTATAGTGAAAACATCAACATTAATATCTTACCCACAAATATTATCCCTTCCATTGATGCTTAATGTCTATTTAATGCACACTTGCTGCTATGGACTGACTTGTGTCTCCCCTCCAAAAAATTCATATGCTGAAGCCCTAACCCGCAATGTGATGGTATTTGGAGATAGGGCCTTTGGCAGGTAATTAGGTTTAGATGAGGTCATGAGGGTGAGGCCACTGTGATGGGATTAGTGCCCTTATAAGAAGAGACACCAGAGAGCTTGCTTACTTTCTCTTCACCCACACGCACCAAGACAATGCCATGTGAGGCGAGAAGAGTGCCCTCACTAAGAACCAAATTGACCAGCACTTTGATCTTAGACTTTCCAGCCTCCAGAACTGTGAGAAATA